AAGGCTAGATCCCATTCAATAATTCAATACCCCAAAGAAGGAGCTTTGGGGTATTGAATGGGATACAGAGAGAGAGACCTTTCCTCTGTTAAAGCCAAGGGGTGAACTGTCTGAATCCATTAAGGATGAAAGGAAGATAGTTGGCAGGAAAAAGAAATCTCAAAGGTATTTCTAAAAAAGGTTGAGGGGGTCATTAAGCCACTGAAAAAATGTAAGGTTATTTCCCTGGCAGGTCATCTAAGCATTTTTATTCATTTCTACTCTGAACAGGGCACAGCTTTGTCTATTTTTCAGTCCCTTCTGCTACATGCTGTATTTTTGGGCTGAAGTGAAACCTCACCTTGTGACCGAAATTGAAGCCTTGGCAGCATCTGGCCTTTGGCAGAAAGTGAGCTCATCACCACATCTATGCCTCACTTAGTGTGTTCCATACCTCCCTTCACTCTGGCATCTCATAAAACCAATGTGACACTGAGGATGCAGCCGAGAGGAGAGCGGTGATCGTGCGGCCCGCCCGCTTCCTTGCTGACTCAGCCAACGAGTGCTCAGCTCATTTCTGCAGTGCTACAGCAGCTTCCTCACAGCAGAGGCAAGGAAATATTTTTAATTGATTAGAGCCTCCCAGAAAGCCAAAGCTAATTTGCTAGTTCTCAGATAAGCTGTTCTAAGGATCTTGTTTTCTGGTTGTAGAGCTAAATCAGAGTTAGGCTGGGCTGGCCCTCCATCACTCCTATCAGCTGCATTGGTCAGAAAGAGGTAAACTTTTTTGGGAAAGAACAACTCCTTCCTCTGCATGAGTGTGCTGCAGTTGTGAGTGAAGCCAAATGCCACTGATTTATAAGGAAAGCAGAGCTGAAAAGGTCAGTGACCTCTGGCTGAAAAAATTTGGAGTCCAGTTTCAAGGCATGTGACAAAGCTGAAATACTGAAACAGACTGACTTCAAAGGGGAAGAAATTAACAGTGTGAGAGCAAATTATACTCCATCTTACCACATGGTTTCTTCTGTGATGGTAAAGAGTAACTTAATATGATTCTATGACTATGGTTTAACTTTGGAAAAACACTGACAGGCAAGGACAGACAAAATGAAAACTATGGATCCGTAGGGGAAAGACTTGTTGGGGCAGACTGGAAGGGAAACCTGATGACAGTGACATGTTGCTATACAAAACCTGAAATGTGAACTGGATCACACAGGAAAATTAATGCGGAAAATGGAGATAAAACTTGAAAATCTTAAGAATGTTGGAGGCCACAAAAACTGAAGAAATACCTAAAAGTGAAAACTTGTATAGATACTTTTTCTTTGTTAAACAAAACCTGAATGAAAGAGTGATTCTTTTATGTGATAAAGGGAAAGTAGAGAAGCAGATTAACTATCTGGAAGAGGAAATGAAAATTACTTTGTACATTTGTTAAAAAGAAAAGCCAAAATATAGAACATCTTTACTTGTACAAATGTGGTCTCTAATTAATGTTTACCAACATGCAACAGGGTACCCAGTGATCAGATCAGGCATCAACAGTGTTTATAGAAGCAATCTGGATCCCTCAAAAAATATCAAGAACTTTGTATAAGACAAACTGAACAGTGTTTACACAAATATATTTTAATGATGGTAATAAAAATAAAAGACACATATCCAAAATAAATTTTCAATGCGTTTTTCTTACTAAAAAATTATTTTACCCTCCTCAAGATCCATGTGTGACATACACATGTATGGATGTGATAATGGAGTGCAAAACATCTGAGAAGAGACAAGGAAAAGGGATCTTTCTGCAGATTTTAACACACTGTGGATTAGGCCCCTTAACAGTGAATATGTTATGTGACATGGGAATTTGCCTTTGGAACCCTAGGCTGGGTCAAGTAATTGCATCTGGGAAACACAGTTTCTGTTTCTTCCCAGGTTTTTTGTGGTCACATTTTTGGAAGATCAATTTTGACAGTACTTGTTTAAATATTTCCTTACTTCATAGTGAATGAGGGACGAAAATGGCCCACAGAAATCTCAGGAGTAATTTATGAATTCAATCATGGTGAAAAATGTGAATTAGACCCTTTCTGCTATGTTCTTACAGGGAAGTAATCTTGCCAACACTCAGGATACATTTTATGTCTTTCTCAGTACATTTCACAGTCTTGTACTTTATCCCTAGGTTTTTTAAGATGATAGAGCCATAAGGAGTTTGAAAAAAATTAAAATATAACTACAAAGAAATCTAAAATAATCTATGCCCATAACCCTATAATCCATGATTCTGAAAACAGCATAAAATATCACAAATCTTCTGGAGAAGTAGAAGAGATGCCAGCACACAGATAGCACCGTACCACGAGGCCATGCATTACTTTCCATATACTCAGTACCTTTCTTTTGCTAGAGATCAGCTCGGGGAGAACATATTTAACTACCCTTTCCCAGCAGTGCTGACAGGCAGCTACCTTATGATAAGCAGTGGTCTTCTCATGCTGCTCAATTAAAGGGATTTCCCTAACTATTTTACCTATGAATGAGTTTCCTAAGGTCTGGAAAATAGGTGTAATGAAATAGCAACAGTTTGCGAGGTCATACAGCAGGACTGAAAAGAGGGGAGTCATTTAGAACTGTGGCTGAAGTGAACAGAGTAAGAATCCAAGTGTTCAACACATGCTTATGACACAGTTTTATCTGACATGAGTCCCCTGTGCACACACACAAATTACTTTCTTACAGATGACAATTCCCCTCAACATAAAACTGGCTGTTTACTAAGACAATATGGCATCATCAATTCTCTTATCCTTTATCAAGCAGTGCCTTTTCATATGATTTAGATGCACACATTTCTTACAGTGACAACTGGCATCAAGATAAAGGCAGACAATCAAATCTATTAGGAAGCAGGACAAGAACCACCTCTTTGCTTGACATTTCATTAATAAGCAATGCACAGCTGCATTACTCATATCTCAAAATAACACAGTTGCTGAGCACAACTGAGTGCAGATTGAAAAAGACTTTACCTTGTGGTGAAATAGCAAACTGGACCTTCAACTTCTATTTTAAAAGGGTGTCTTGCATACACTGCCTCAAGACTCAACAGATTCAACAGAGAGAATGACAAAAGACCTACCTGTAACTTGTCTTTCAGAGCTAGTTCTTATGTATTAGCTCTCTGAGAGAACTTCAAGCTCTATTTTATATGCCATAAAGCAATTTTATACCCCAAAAATTATGATTTTAACTTTTTGGGGGGACTGAATGTAACCCTTGCATGGCAGCTAGCACAAACAGATCAAGCCCAAGAAAGAAGTAAATAAATAGGGCTTGTTAAAACACCTTGTCCAGACAGTGGGCTGGACTGGGGGGAGGCAGGAAAAACAGGATGGGGGAAGAACAGAACAGAACTGACCCAGCCCAGCATGCCCAGAACTTTAACAAACTGAAGGAGACATCATACATTTTCAAATTCTTTCTTCACCATGTGACAACAGCTGTCTAAATCTGAGACTGTGCAGTCAGGAAGGTGTACAACTCCTCTAAGACCTCCAGTGACATCAAGGCTTCTCTAAACTGGAACACTAAAAGTGGGAAACAAAGTTAGACCATCTCTAATACTGCTATACTCACCCATCTTTATGTTACTGGCTGAAAAGTTCAATTTACAAAATGACAAGTGCTTTACATTCACATCTCTCATTTATTTTACAAAACCTTTCCTGGTAATATCAGTGTTATTTACTACTATAAACATTACTACTGTGGCATTAAAATTCTATATGTAGGCACTTATCTTTCAATAATCTACTCAAAGTAATCAAACAGGAACTGACTTCTCTCTCTTTTAATGCAATATCCTTCTATTACAGACCAACATGGCCCACCCATCCCTTCATAAATGTGTCAGAAACAAGGTAAATATTTTTGATCTCATAGCTCCTTCCATGGGGGTCTTCCAGACACACACTCCAGAGTGGCAAGGTGAACAATACACCTCTTTTTACTTTGTTTCATGGAAGACAGCCCCATCAATTTATTTGATTCTATTAACAGCACTGTGGGATAAATTTTCCTGGTTTCTTATTATTGAACACATGTGTAAAGATTTGCACTCAGTCTTCCAGATAAGGACTTCTAAGCATCATGTATCTGACATGGTAATTCCTTCTCTCTGTAGGCCAGAGGATGCATTTCAGGAGCATGTTTGCCCTTTTTATAAATACATTACACAGGTGGTTTGCAATAATCCTGTGATCAAGCAATAAAGTCCCATTCTGAGATCCTCCTCAGCAGTTATTACCTCTGCTTAGAGATGATGCTCTGTATTGCCACATTCCACCTTTTTTCTTTTGCAGTCTTCCTAACCACTAGATTTTTCATGTTTGACATTTCAAGTTAATCATGGTAATGATCTGTCACCTTTATGTTATTGATACAGTTCTCTGTTTCTGTCTGGAATCATTGTAGACAGAATTATAAAAAGAATTACTAATGATTTTTGTAAATCTCTGTCACTCCAGTTTCTGGAATTTGGTTCCCATATTTCCACATTCTTCCAGAAAACTGATGTAAAGCAATCATTTATAGTATCTTGCACCTGCAGATACTATATGGGGTAGTGAAATAGATGCATACTTTTGTCCAGACAGCCATTCAACCTTGGTGAATTATATGGGTCAACAGGAAAGAGTAAGTATCTTCAGCTATTTATAAAGGGTGCAACTCAAATACAAGCACTTTCATATTAGAAACAAATCCAAATTAAAAAAAATAGCTACTGGAAATCATGCAACCTTTTTCTAAATAAATCCATATGCATTCAGCTATACTGGCAGCATGCAAGCAAACTCTAGCCAGTTATTTAAATTCTTTCTATCAAAAGAGTCAAGTTTAAAAATTCATTATTGCTTTGAAAGTTTTATGTTTCATCCTAAAATGATATACCAACATACACATTAAAAAATATCAGCAGGAGAAGACTCCTATCAGACTTTGAATATCCTTCTACTAACCTTGGGTGGTTTAAAAGGATAATCCGGTGAAAAGGTTATGTCAAGGAAGAAAACTCCACCTTCATATACAGACCCTGGAGGCCCCAGTATAGTTGACCTCCATTCATAAATGTTGTCTCCTTTGGGTCCAGCACTAAAATAGAAAACAAAAATATAATAATCACATGCAATCAAGGATATACTGCATCAGTTATACTCTACCAGTAGTACCGCTGGTTTTGCTGTAACACCAGAAACTAAAATTGTGTATCACATTCATTAAGTTAGACAGAACATGCATCTGATGTCCTAAGCTCTGTCAGAGAAGTGATATATTCAGCTAGGAAGAAGAATTAAAATCACATCATAAATTATTCAAATAAGCACAGAAAAATTCCCAACTGTCTTATCTCAAATATTTTAGTGGGCAGATGTGAAGTATTTACAGTGCAAGGATACAGAGACTTTGCTGAGATGTCTTGTCACTGTCTTGCTTCACAAGCCATCCTATTTTCACCTACCTCCTCATCCACCTACCTCCTCAGTCAGCAGCAGTGTAATTACACACATTACACAGCACAGACTGTACTAAAGACTGAGCAGGGTACAAGCAACCTTGCAGCTGCACGTGTTCCTAACCTAAGGTCTCCAGTCACTACCACAGAAGGCTGCTTCACTCTGCAATCATTGCCCTATCTTAAATAATATAAACAGGAAGTGGGTTATGTTAATTATGTTAAATACAACAGGAAGTGTTGGATTATGTTAATTCAAAGTCCTTGGTTTAAAACACAGTACTGAAATAATATTCAAAATGTACAAAACATGATCCTGTATGAGACAAGAAAAGTCTCTCACCCGTATGGTGAATTCCTGAAAAAGATTAAATAAAATACTAACCAATAAAAGTTCCTGGGCATGACTCTTCGAAAATCCAACACAGCCTCTTTTCATACAACATAATACCTGTCCATACAAATATGTATTTTACTCAGGATGGCCTCTTAAAGCATATGAAGACTTTTCCATTCACAGACTGCTGATTACAGGACCTGAATTTTAATTACGATCAATTGGAACAGTGACTTCCAGATATCTGATTAATATTTTTTAGAGGAAGGCAGTGCTGGTAGATATCTCAGAAAAGTGATGTGGTATTGTCTTAAGGGATTTCTTGTGAAACAGTTCTTGTTATGTTAGCAGTGAAGGTTTCTGCAGCGAACAGGGGTTTGTGGAATCACTCAGTGTGTAGAACAGCTGAAAGCTCTTGGCTATGCTCCATGCCTCACAATGTGCCCAAGGTACACAATTATTATACGACATCATGTCATGTTCACTGCTCAACTATTCGTTTTGTTCACTGGAAGTTAATAAAACCTGCTTTCACCTGCAATTCCTTGGGCTCCCTTCATTAAAACTTCTGACTGCACGATTCCCTAAATACAGCTGCACGACTCAGCCCTGTGCAGAGCACTTCATTAGTCATGGTACCTACATCCATTTTCTATTATAGTTGTTAATGCTTCTTGGCTTTCTAAACTACCTTGCTTTCTCAACAATAATGGGTTACAGAGACTATAACATTATGGAACATTCATTTTCTATCAGCCATAGTAACAAAACTAGCAATTGTTTTAAAGATGAAATCTGGCTTTTTAAGTGGCACAATAGCAGAAGTGTTGCCATCCATATTTCACAGTGTCGATAATACATCAGGTTGCTAGCTGCCAAACAAATTTAATTTACCCAGTTCTCAGTTTGCATTAACCTTTGAATAATAAAGCACAGCTGAGACTGCTGTAAGAAACAAACCAGAGAATGAATAATTAAAACCACCTCCACTGCCTTTAGAAAGACCAATCCTGAGTCAACAGGGAAGGTTTAATTGTGACTGAACTAGGCATTAAGGGGCTAATTGAACTCTTTATAAGCCCAAACAAATGCAGTCCTACATCAGTGGTATGGTATACAATGTTCACAGAAAATAAAACTCCTAAAAAAATGCAGGCAATTATTTCAAATAGAAAAGACAAGAAGCAAGGCAAGTCTAAATCTTACACCAAAAAAAGCCCATAATATGTGAAAGGAATCCCTTCTCATTTTCTGCAGGAAAATGTTCTAACACTTAAAGAAGCAATTCCGCAGTCGATGCCAGGAGGTTAAAATGGAAGTGATATAAATGTCATTTCCAGAGAAATGGTTGGAAATAAGTAACAAAAGCTAGCCCTAGCTCTTTCAGAACTTATTTAGCCAGGAGGGGTTGGTTTGGCCCTTTCTGCATTTGACTGAGGCTGACTTTTTTGATCAGAAATCTCTCTGACAGTGGCAGTTTCATACTGTATATTATTTTTATTTGTTTTGCCTATTTATTTAATTGCATTAACATTTGAAATGAGCAGTCATTAATTAGAATAGTTGGAAAACGCTCCATCTGCCAGTTGAACTGTTTCGGCACGTCCAGCTACAAGCCCAGCCTGATCACATTCTGAGGATGCTGATTAACATTAATTGACGGTTTTCTTTGCAAATGAGAGATGAAGCTTTATTAAGTATTATTATTAATTTGAAGAATAGCTTAAATTGTATGGAGTGTGGGAAGACTGCTGTTATTGACGCTGCCTGTTTAAGTGCTTGCTGGCAGCAGGGCTGTTCAGCCATGTGAAATACCAGCCCATGTGCACAGGCAACAGCTGGTATTAAGGGCAACAGCATGCACAAGCATCACGGTTTTTCATTTGTGCATTAATAATACAAAAAGTTTGACAGGTGTGTTATCTTTGTTTTCCTTCTTTCTTAATTGTTAAGTCTTTTATTTATCCACAATACTGGCAACCCGAACAGACTTCACCAGAGAAAATTCCCAATGCACAAGACGTCAGCCAGAGCCTTATTCTGTAAGGTTTAAAATGCAAGAGGATTTAATTACCCTTCTCTCTACATAGATATCTGCCCAACACACTGAAGCCCAAATGTTTTACATTCAGTATGATTTATATTCCAGCACTGTTAAAGTTACTGGCAACCAAACCACAGATCTCAAAGAAAGTGCACCAAAGAGCTCAGTGCCTGAAGTTCTGTAATCTTTGGAAGAACAGATTTAGATGTGCACCCTCTCAGCAAAAGGCAGACTAAATCTGTCCTGAACTCAGCTGACCCAGGGCCAGAGCACACACGGGCTGCCTGTGACGAACCTACTGCTACACAGTCAGCTCCAAGGGAGAGACAACTGTGGCTGGGCAGCTCCAGGTGGAAGTGCATGAACTCTAAGGTAGTAGGATGGACTCTTAGGAGGACAGGTCTGCTGTGAGACCAGCAGTGCAGCCTCCCAGTGTGAGCCCAGATGCTGACAAGCCAGTGACTCTGCAAGGTGGGGCAATCAAGGAACCAGCAGAGAGGTTGTAGTGTGGCTCTGAACTGGTGTTCCCCAGTTTTCCAGTGTTACCTCCCAAGTGGAATATGTAACATAAGACCAAGGAGGTGCAGCTGAGCTCCTGGAGACTTGAAGTTATTAATGACTTGCCAAGAGCCAGCTGTCTGCTGCTATTATTCCCCTGCAGCTGATGAGACCCTCCACAGAATACTGTACACTTCACCTCTGCAGAGGTTTGCTCAGTGGAAGAGCTGGAATAGGTGGACATGGAGCAAGTTTTCTTCCAGAACAACACCCATATGAGTGTATGAAATTCAGGACAAAGGAGTGAAAACATGTAAAATGGTCTTCTTTTTATTTCACTCTCCTTTGCTTCTCCTATATTTCAGTTCTGACATGGCTTTTCATAGATACTTGCAGGTGAAATGTATGGACATCAGTTACAGTTCTTAGCAAAACACTTTAAATGCTACTAGAACTGAATTAACTTTGCTTTAAATATGCTTACCACATGGAGTATTTTCTATTCCCTCAGTATGTTTTAGGTAGGCAGCCACTTGAAAGCAGTGCTGCTAAAAACTGCTTGTCCAATAGAGCAATGTATTATAAACACCAAGCTTCCCCTGCATTTAAAATATCCTAAAATATTAAATGCAAAATAATGTATTGGGAAAGTTGTATAAAAAAAAAAGCACCTATGAGATATACCAGATGAAAACCTATCTGGAGAAGTTATTAAAGTACAGTTGATTTTTAGCTGTCATTTGTACACAATTGTATGTAATTTCCAGAGAATAATTTTAAAAAGTGAAAATACAGAAGGTCAAAAAAATAAGTATGTTTACCTTGATTATCAAGTAGTCATACAAAACAGATTGGTCAAAATAATGTTATCATTTTTAATCTACCTTATATTTCTCAATGAGGGAGTCACATTCTTTACCAGCATCTATGACTGAAGGTAACATAAACTTGTAATATGTTTCTGGTAAAATGGAAAATGAGGACTATTTCGGTGTGTTCCCTTCTATTCTTGGTCTCTGAATCCTGCTGGTATCCACCATTAAAATGGATACTCTTTAACACAAGGGAAAGGCAAGCCTGTAGCACAAAACACCTAGGATTTTAACTTCAATGGTTTTCTAGATCTGATACATGAACAGTGCATAGCAGGGAACTGATCAGGCCAAATAAAACAGGAAAGCATGTTGGTTGGAGGCCTTCCTATTCCTCAGGACTCAGAAAGAAATGGAGAGATTCTTGTGGAGAGAGGGAGTCTTTATAACAGTGAAGAATAAAGCAGAACCAGGATATCACAGTAACGCCCATGAACTCACTTTCCATGGCATTGTCTATGGCAACTCACTCCTAGTATTGCATTATGTAATCTGAATTGCCTTAGCACACAGAAACACACATCAGAGCCAGGCTGCAGTCTGTGGAGGATGCAGTCCCTCTCAACTATCTCTGGTAACTTACAACAGTAGGAAAAAAGACACATGGAAGGCTATTTCTCTTCCTTGTCTTTTATTGTGCAGAGCCTTGGCTTCAATATTTAGGAGTTTTCCCTCTGAGGAGAGAAGCTCATTACAGAATGATCTTCATTTCTAATTTCTACAAGAGTTTCTTGCAATCCCATTTCTTGCACATCTAATAGATATACAGGAGCAGATCCTGCCTGTAGCTGCTTTCTCTGAATGCTTCTGGGAAGCCATTTGCCTAGAGGGCAAAGTGGATACAAAAGTACAATAAGATTGGCAAAATAATTTAAGAGTGCAGCTGGT